TTTTTGACTGAATCTTAGTATAAAGTTCAACATCAAAGCATATCCAATTCTTCAATTTATATATATGTGAAATATATAGGAACAATTTCAATATAAGTTCAACATAGAGCATCTTCAATATTGTTCCAATATTGGTCTTGAATAAATTTTGACAAATATAAATAAATTACTAGATTGTGAAATGTAGAAAATTTGTTAGGTTTACAATTATAAACCTAGAAACATATATCCAATTTATAGATTCAACTAGTTTTTATTTGGTTTATTTTTTAAATAGTTAACTTTGAAAAAAGTGGTATGGTTAGTTGTTAGTGGATATATTAAAATAGTATTTAAATAAAATAATTAAAGTTGATTTGATGTAAAGTAGGAGAAAAATGATTGGAAGTGATGATTATTTAAAATTATGTGAGTGGATATATGAATAATGAATTAAAATTGATGTGATGTGTAAAAATAATTGGTTGATATTATTTAATTATATTGATAATATGAGAAATAGTGGGATTGAGTTAAAGTTGAGTTAAATTTGAGTTTTGATTGGTTTTTTTACTGTTGAAACTATAAACAATCGTCCCCTAAATAACGAGTTTGTAATTTAAGTAGAAACGCTAATGTCATATACAGTTGTGTTTACTTATAAATATATATATTGATATGTGTACCTTCAAGTTTTTATAAGAACTTAGGATCTGTATCACCCTCAAACTTTTTTTTAAGAAAAAAAAAATGAGATTTCTTGTATTTATGATTTAAGTATAAGATCTGTAATTTATGAAAAATAAGTTTTTTTGGTTCGAAATTTGATTTAAATCGAACACATTGCATATAATTTTTTGCTGATTAGAGTTTATCAAATGAACATTTTTTTTAATAAAAATTAAATAAAGTTGAAAATATGTGATTACATAAAAAAAAGTAAAAAATCAACATTCAAATATACAATTGATCAACATTAAAAAATCTAACAATCCAACTTAATACTAAGTCTTATAAATCATTAAACTGATTTAAAATTAAAAGGCCGAAATAGTAATTATTATAAATATTTTCAAAAATTTATACAGTAATGTAAAATATAATGATTGTTAGTATACTTTTCAATACATAAATAATATTATTACTTTAAATTAAAATAGCTTTGAGAATAAGTTTAAATTATTTATATATTCTACATATGTTTTACATTTTTATTTATTTTTTATAGTGTTTTTTTTATTTGTATATATATAATGATTTTTTTTTTTCTAATTAGTTAAGATGAAGACAACATTGCTCAGTTATATAAATTCATAGAGGCATGCATCTGGCTCTAGGATGCTAAATACTAAAGCAGACTAAGACTACGCGGAGAATCTGAAATGAATAAGATAAGTTGCTTCATTGATAATTGTTTTTTGCACTGTAAAACACGTATAAATGCAGTCAGCGTGAATAATTTTCTCTGTGAGAATTGTTCGTGTATAATTTCAGCAGGGAGCCTAGCAAATAATCAAAAATTATTTCAAAGAGCGAAAAAGGGTTGCACCCGAGAGATAAAATTATGCAAATATTAAATAAAGTGCTTTTGGCGGGCCGTGGGCTGGGGGAGGAGCGTTTGCAAGTTCTACAAAGAAATGATTCTCCGATCCCAAATCCAAGAATCACATTCTGTAAGGCTCACAAAAGCTCCCGGACTATGACGACCCACAACAGCCGAATTTGTTATTGGCAATCACCGGTTGTTGTCCGGGAACAACAATCTTTGTCCCCTTGAGTAGAGACTCACTCCCTCCCGATTCTGCTTCGTTCGCAACGAGTGCCTTTTTGCTCACCACCCGATAAATCTCAGTCAACACGGTCAGAAAGGCCGGCTCGACATTGGTCGACTCGAGTGCGGATGTTTCCATGAAGAACAGGTTCTCCCCCTGCGCGAAGTCCTTGGCACCTTCAGTTGATACTTTTCGAAGGTTCTCAAGGTCGGTTTTGTTGCCAACAAGCATGATGACAATGTTCTTATCCGCATGACCTCGGAGTTCGTCCAGCCACCTGGCGACGTGATCGAAAGTCTGCTGCTTGGTGACGTCGTACACCAGCATGGCACCAACTGCCCCTCGGTAGTATGCGCTGGTCACTGCTCTGTACCTGGACACATCAAACCCGAGAGAAAATTCACAAAAGAAGAAGAGGTAGAAATTGAACAAGTGGTATAAAAGAGCACGATAAGAGATCTTTTCACAGGCGCATTTATAACAAACCATATACCCATATGTTGGAAGCAATCAATCTACCCTGTTCATTAAAAAGAGGGCATGTAATCAGTAATATCTTTTTGTACAAAGTAACATAGTCTGGGCTTGTTTGGCAATTAGCGGCTATCTAATTGTATTAGTTGTTTTGATCAATTAGCTGATTTGACCATTTGATCATATTAGTGGGATGTAATAAGTGTAAGGTAAATTGGCAGTTATCTAACTTTAAGTTCCTTTTTTTTTATCACGAAGACAATAGAAAAATATAACAATTCGGTAACACGATATATCTCCTTAAACATAAATATCCTTCTCGTGACCCTCACCAATTAATCTTCTTTTCTTTTCCGTTCTTTTCCTGAATGACATCAGGCTGCATATTTTTTCCATCATAAGCTAACTCAAAGCAGTTTCCTCAAAAAGCTAATTGAAAACCGCTAGTTCACCCAACAATCTATTTGGTGTTATAGAAGGACAAACATGGTCAAAGCAGCTAAAAGATGGACAAAAATCTATTTACAAGATAAAGCCAAATACTAAAATAATTATGGTGTCTCCATATTTCATATAATTTTGGACATTGTCAATTCGGTTTCATTCATAGCAACTAGTTCATAAGGCACATGATGCTATATTTATCCCCGAATTAAATTCTGATGAGAAACATGGTGGATGTGTTCTAAAGAGAAATTGATGAACTGAAACATTTTAGAAGGTTACGATCATGTGACCTAAATTGCACTATGCCTTTATGAAGATAATCGACAATTTTAGTCCATCAATTTCAAAATGAAAATCCATCTGGAATGTGACTAATCCAAAAAATCATAAATAAAGCCCAAAAAATCAAAGCAAAACTAACTGAAATAATTGTAGCTACATATAGCCGTCTGTGAAGTCTTAAGGGGCCATCTGCATTTTTTTAGTACCATTCAAATTGAGGTTTGCATGGATGATACATGAAATACATCTTATTATTTTACTCATGTGATTTCATAAAGTTAATAGCTCATCAATTGGCATTCAACATAAATCCACGGGAAACAGTCAAATGACGCAAAGTGTTAAACCACAGTTCCTGGCAGCAAAGTTTTTGGTTGCAAAAATACCGAAGCGCACGCAGAAACAAAATTGAGTCTTGCGATTAAAGCAGCCAACGACAATTAAGAGATGAAGAACATTTTACTATATTATGACAAATTTTTATACTTACATGTTAGGAGGATCTCATGTACCACAAGTTAAACATCCAAATACAAATGTTGTGTGAAATTTACATTTGTTTGACAATGAAACAAATGTAGAGAAATATCCTCTGACTTCAATATCCACGGATCTTCTACTAATTCTTTTTAACATGAACTACACTTCCGATTTACAAAGTAACGACCTTCGATTTAAACGGAACCCCCTCATATCATATGAGAGCATTACTACCGATCAATTTGTTAATAACCAGCTAAATGGCATTCAACTAAAGCTCATTTCAAGCTATATTCAAATAAGAATACCAAAGTCAACTCATCAAATCCCCAATCAACATTGCCATGAAATGAAAGGGGCACATACACATCCAAACACACAAACTCTCTAACAGCCAAAACAATTAATTTCAAAACAAATAGAAAAACAAAATAAAAAAAAAATAAAAACAAGGAAGATAAAAACGAGTTACCTCTCCTGGCCGGCGGTGTCCCAAATCTGCGCCTTGATAGTCTTCTGATCAATCGCAACCGTCCGTGTCTGGAACTCAACTCCGATAGTGGCCTTGGAGTCCAGACTGAACTCATTCCGCGAGAATCGCGCCAGGAGCTGCGATTTTCCCACCGCCGAGTCGCCGATCAGCACGATTTTGAACACATAATCAATTTTGTTGGTTAAATCCCCGCCGTACAAATTCGCCATGTCCCCCCGAACTCCTCAAAGACACCCGAGAATGATAAACGCGCTCGATCGATCGATCGATCGATCAACTAGACAATGATTTTCAAGAGTTGCTGTGCGTAAACGTCGTCTACGGTACAAGTGTACGAGATCGAAGCGTGAGAGGAAAAGGGGCAGAAAGAAGAGGAAAATGGAAAGTTGGGGCGTCTTGACTTATTAGTCGACCGAAGCACGACTAACAGTAACAGACCAATGCGTTGTGTTGAACTTCTTCAGTTTTTTACTCTTTTTTTTATGCATGTATTGGACCTTTGGAAGATGTTATGGTCTCCAATTATTTCGCACGACTAACAGTAACAGACCAATGCGTTGTGTTGAACTTCTTCAGTTTTTTACTCTTTTTTTTATGCATGTATTGGACCTTTGGAAGATGTTATGGTCTCCAATTATTTCGTCGAAGTTTGTAATCGTTAATCACTATTTCAAAAAAAATATAGGTTACAAAGTCGGACGAAATCGTTAAGTAAAGACTCTACTCCTTAATTTGAAATCATCAAAGTGTTCGTTGGTCCACTAACTATGCATTTTTTATTCATGAAAAGACGAGTGACAACTTTTTGTTGGAGAAAAAGAATTGGTGTAACCTTAGTAATTTTATTAATACAACGCAATGCAATATAAAGAGTAATAATTAATTATCGCGTGTTTGGGAAATATTAAAATTCTAGTTGGTATTTAAAAAATCTAATAAAATAAGCATTTAGAAAAATATTATTTTTAATTTAAATATCTATATATATATAAAAAGAATTACATTTACTAAAAATAGTAGCAAAAATTTAGGAAACATTTAATTCATGCTATTTTTGGGAATTTTTTTATATATGCATTAATTGCTTCTATTTACACGTTATCAAATAAGATCAAATAATTACTTAAATAAATTATTAATATCTGCAATATTTTCATTTATATTTATTATAGTAAATTACAAGATTGATTTTCTTGATTCATGTTGATAATATTTTGGTCAAGGCAAATATTATTTTATTAATATTTGTAATACTTTCATTGGTATTCATTATAATGAATTACAAGATTGATTTATGTGATCCATGTTGATAATATTTTGGTCAAGATAATATTACACCATATTTTAAGTTCTAACCATAATATTAGTTTTTTTTTTCACAAATATTCACTTTTTATCCAAAAATATTTATGAACAATCGTAAAAAAGTTAGGTAGAATTTTTTTTTCAAGTAATCAAACAAAATAAATTGGTGAATTAATATTTGTCAATATATTTATTTCTTATGCTTTATTTTGTTAAATATAAAAAATAAATCGTTCTTCAAATTAATATAATTTACCATTTAAGAGATAATGACCAGATACAATAAATAGTTTTACTAATGGTAAAAAATTAAATTAAAACATATTAACTATTGTTTAGCATTTATTTGTATATTACTGACACCCATGACTATATTTTTTCATTTTTTATTTTAATTTATTTCTATAATTAAATTCTTGTAAAATATATTTTCATTGTTGAGTATGCTAAATAAACCATAAATCTTTATAATGCGAACTAGAAAAATCTTGATCATATAGGGGATTGAGTTTTTAGGATTTTCTAAATCAAAGTTGTTTAATTAGTATATAAAATTAAATTCTAAAAAAAAAACATGTGTATATTTTGTAAAATATTTATACACTATTTAATATTAAATTTATTTACATATTTTAAATTGATTACATAAATAAATAATGCAAACGTGCATTAAATAT